TTTTTAAAAGATAGGACAGAAAGTGACTTCTATACTTTTAAAATTTATGCAAAACTTAGGAGGTCTTTAGACCGAGCTAACTATACCACATTCACCTTCATAACCAATCTTTCTTTTTAAATAACTGGAGTGACAACAAGTGACAATAGCCACCACCATCATTATTTTGATAAACACTTATCAAAATATTCATCATGACCAGTTTCTTTTATTGTTGCTTTGTTTATACATTTTAAAAAAAGAAGAATAAGAAATTTTATTTGATCAACAAACACGTACTACGGGTAATATTAATTATAATTTATATTTGGAAATATCTGCATGTTATTTCAGATCACGTGAATCCGTTGATTTATATATGAAGTGATTTTCAGATACAATCCGTTATACGTAATAAAAGTTTAATTAATAATATCCGTTTTAGAAAGAGATTTCAAATAGTAAAAAATTGGGACCAAACTTTCAATCCGTTATTATTATAGAAAGGACTGTTATAGACAGTGTAGACTGTGTTTTGTTTATGTTAAAATTTCAGTCATTAAAAATCTTTGCGTCTAATAAGGTTAGAACTATGGTGAAAAATATGCTTTAACAATCCATCATTGGGTGTTCTTGTAGCGGTGGCAGTTAAGGTTTCCGGTCGAAACTCTTTCTGAAATTGCCGAAACACTTTGGGCAAAAATAACTTTTTTATAAGCCCAAAATATTTTTTGTTATTAGCCGAAATTGGGCGAAATTACTTTAAAGTTGTTTAAGTTAAAATAAGTTGATTGATATAGTTTTTTAATGTTCATGTTATAAAAAATACTGAGAAGCCCAAATTGCCCAAACTAGTTTGGGCTTTGAGAAAGCAGTTTGGACCGGAAACCTTAGTGGCAGTACATTATGATTGGTTATAATTTAATGTAATCATTAAAATTATAATAATTACGTAAAGAAGGCTTGTTGTAAATTTGATGATATGATTTGGGAAATGATGCTTCTTCATATGTAATTTTTTCAACTTTTAAAACATATATGCACACCGATCTTAATGTACAATTTTAGTTGTCTCCATTTTCAAAATGTATAGGTTCAAGGCAAATAAAGTAGAACAAAAAAACTTTTCGTATCTATAAACTGCACACCACCTACCTACTACTATCTTTCCGCGTAAATTTGGTCTACACAGTGAGTCTCGGTATAACGGATATTTAACTAGTACAAATTTAGAAACCATCTGCAAAAAATTGGATATTTTTGCAGATAGTTTCTAAATTTGTACTAGTTAGAGATTCGTTATACTGTGTATATAGTGATTTGAAAAAAAAGAACTTCTGTCGATCACAATTAGATTTAATGTCACGCGCACAGCATCAGTGTGCTGGGGCAGACGTAAAGTTGACATATTAATATATATTAATAAGCGCCATTATGTCATCTTATTAATCTATTTATAATATTTTTTTTTTTTAATCTAACAAATTAGATGAATAAAGAAGCCATATATTCTTTATTAAAAAATAGATACGGAAATTTTTTAATTAAATTAGTTAAAAAATATTTAATATTGTATCACAAAATCTTTCATAATGATTTTCAAATTATACATTCAACTTTCATTTTTCAAATAACATAATTAATATTTCATCAAATTATTAACGAAACTAGCAGCTTCAAGGAGCGTTTCTGCTCGTTATAGTATAATGTCTACTATTTCAACATCAGAAGCAGAAATAAATACACGGTCTTCATCTGCACCATCGGACGAAATGTCTAATTCAATTATTCCTTTAACTACAACTAATGTTGAAGATGAAATGCATAGAGCAGCAATCAAAATTTTACAACAATCAATAGATCTTTTAATAAATTTATCTAATGACGAGAATTTTTACATTTATCAGAGTAAATTTATACCACAAAGTTCTATTGGAAAACATATCAGGCAAGTAATTTCAACAATTAATCAAAGATGCATTAATTACTTGATAAATATTGCAATTAATATAAATATTTTATATCTAGACATATATGTGATCATTTTAGATCATTGATTGAATCAAAATCGCTGATAGAGAAAAGAATATTAGAGAAAAATAAAGAATATAATAATTATAATCATCCATTAGATAATTATGAAAAAAAGGATTTAAATTGGATTGTAGATTATGATAATAGAGTGGCAAATGTATGTAGTAATACACATTTATGTGTATGCATTTATACTTGTGTATATTTGTATGTGTAAACTAACACACATATATACTTCAATCAAAATTAGGAAGAAATAGAAACATCATGTTTGAAAGCAGTAAAACTCATCAGACAATTACAATCTGTTTTGGTAAATGATTCTTCAGTTATCCCCTTAACTTTTCCAATGAGAGTTGATTCAATAATTGATTCTGATTTATCAGTGAATTCAATACAATTAAATTCTACATACGGTAGAGAATTATGGTTTTGTTGCCATCATGCAGTAAATAAACAAACAAATAATTATATTCTTTTTTTTATTTTATTTTTTTTAAATCTTTTTTTTTGTTAATAAATATTTTTGAATTTATTAGATCCACCATTATGCTTTGATAAAGGTGATATGTATAGAATTAAACATCCAGTGTCCAAAAAATTTTGGTATTGCACCTTCAACTCTTAGAAGATGTCATTAAACTAAGAATAACAATTTATATTTATGTTTATATTATAAAGAAATAAACAATTTTCATATTTATTATAATAGTAATAGGTAACACCAATAATCTGCCCACACAAGTCAAAAATTTTCTTTTTTCATATCTAAATTTTATTACTATTACCATAAAAATTATATTAAAACATTGAAAAAAATTTTATTAGGAAAAATAATCAGTGAATATTTGATTATTATCGTTGTGGGGCTTGATTTTTATTCTCATGGATATATAGTCTTCCAATTAATTACCTTCTTCGTTCGAGTGCAATTTGCGTTGTTCTTCCACTGCCCAAATTTTTTCATTTTTATCCCTTGAACTGCAATGGTAACATTACGTGTTAAAAATATTTTGATTTTCCTTTAATAATTGTTGTCCAAACTGCCATAAACTATGTAAAACTTTTGATATAGAGATTTTTGTGCGATCAACCAAGTTTCAAAAAAAAAAATAATATGATGATAATTTTTGTCCAAACCCAGCCCACTATTAATATATATACCTCTTTGAGGGATATTCAAAAAAAACTTTACCCCGTTTTAATGACACGGAAACCTTTAGTAAATATAAAAGACAAAATATGCAGTACCTCATGGGAATCTATTATAGGGTGAACTGCATGAAATGATGTAGATAACATACATGATGGCGAAATAGTTTTGTTTCGACAATAATTTCGACGATTAAGGTTCAAACATTTCGAATATACCCTAACAGGTTTCGAAAAAATCAAAATTCGAAGTCAAAATCGAAATTTGTAATCAAAATTCGAAATTCGAAATTAATAAATAATTTTTGCATTAATGTCTTTAAAGTTCTTTTATTTCAATTTTTTGAATTTCGGATTTAGATTTCAATTTTGAATTTGATTTCGATTTTGAATTTCGATTTCGATTTTGAATTTAGTATTAGTATTAGATTTTGATTTTAATTTCGCCAAGTGTATTTCGATTTCGAAAACTTGTATGATTTTTTCGAAAGTTTCGAATTTTATCAAATGACTTTCGCCATCATGTATGGTAGATAATAAATATAAAAGAAGCACTAGAAATGCTGATTCGGGCAGACTAGGCCAATTTTCCCTGTCTCCAAGTCAGGAAATATAACAATAAAATATATTATTCACGAAACAATATTAACGAAATTAAAAACTCTTATACATTACTAAAAATAGTAAAGATTATCTCTCAAGATTTACAAATCAGAACCAACTTATCGAGACTATCTGGCTGAAGAAGTTGTCCAACTAGTATTAACAAGAGTTTATATGTTTTCCAACTCACACTTTTACAATGCTCAAATGCTTCCTTTTTTCAGACTTTTACCCTTGTTTGTTTATTGGCCGTAACCTGACTAAAGCAAATGAAATGTAGCCCTTTGCCGTTGCTGGATTAATTTTTGTAGATTTTTTCTATTCATCTATTATTCAGTTTATCTATCAGTAAAAATTTTCAATATTCGATTAATCGGATAACCGGTGAATAATCAGCGAATGTTACAACAACCTCTAAAAATAAAATAGTGCGATGTTTTTTTGCCCTCCTTGTCTTATTTGAATGATTATGACATAAATGATGGCGAAATAGGTTTATTTTAAAAATAATCGGATCTTAAACATTTCGAATTCAAACTTAAACTTTTGACTAAAATCGCAGATCGTCTCAAAAGTTCACATTAAGATTTAATTTGTTAGTTTATAATAAACAAATAAATATATATGAAAGGATGAATGTTGTCTTTCCAATATAATAGTCTGAAATGGAAGCCAAGGGTACTTTATTATAATTTTTTCAATTTCACCTTATTGCAAAAGTCCAGATACGAAAGAGTGTTTCTAAATATTCATCAGGATGAGTCAGTTTAAATAAGAGAGCATAGATGTCTAATATAGATTGTATCAAGTTATTTAATAAATCTAGCATTAATCTATATTCTAGGTCTTTACAAGTTTTAGGAAATTATATACAACAATATATGTGAAATTTTCTTCCACCCTTTATTTACAAAATCTAATAAATAGAAGGTTGATCTCCCAAGATTTGGGTTTTTTGCTAGAATTTTTTTGGGCACAAAAATATAATGAATAATTTATTATAACATGTCCTCTTGAATCCAAGGACACATGTGGTGGTACTGTTAATGGAACAAAGTTTTTTGATTATCAAGGTTGCTTTGCATTTCCTGTTGTTGAATTTTTAGTTATTGCTTTTCTGATAAATATTGACCTGGCCAGTCAGCAGAAACAGGTATTATATTATTTTTCAATATTCTGAAACACTTTTTATTTAAAAGAGCTCGAACATAATCATCCAGAGAACGTGGGTTACTTTCTTGTACCTCAACAGCACAAACACATTTCATAGATTGAAGCATCATAAAAATGAACAACAAGAAGACCAAAACTTTGTGGATTTTCTGTAATCCATTTTGCTTTACACATATTATAACTAATGTCAAACACGATTAATAAAGGAAAGCAGAAAAGAAAACAAAATAGCTTTATAAAGAAGAAATAGAAAAGAACACTTTAAGTTATAATGTTTTAAAGTTTGCTTTTTTTAACAATATTAACAATGGATTATTTTACTCAGATTTTATGTCACTTGATTTGATACGTGTAACATAAAATTTCATTTAAAAGAAAATCATTACCAAATTTGGTCACGAGATTCAAAATATTGTAACGCGAAAATTATTATTGCATTTCTGAGCATAACTTTCAAATTTAAAAAATCTATGAAAAGAAAATTCGAGACAAATTTTTTTTAGATTAATAGACACCCTTTTAAGCTGAATTGAATGGTGTTGGGGTTTTTAAAATCCAATGTGCGGATCACTTAATATTTCAAAAATTTTAACTTTTGAGTATAGATGATCCACACTTTATTCAACGTAATTTCTCCCATCATCATTAAGTCCTGGGAAATAATTTTCAGGAGAGTTAAAATAATTTCTTTATTGTTTCTAAATAAACTTTGTCTTCTATTGTTTATAATTTTATTAAGGAATAACAGTTCAAATAAATTGATTTCTTGTGGTGGGCAAGAAATTAGATCGCAGACAGCAAAGACAAGTTGTTAATATTAAACTATTCAAAACTTGACCATGTAATTTCTCTGTCAACATTAAGTCCTGTGATTTACAGAATAGTTAAAATAATTTTCTTGTTATTTAAACAAAATCATTGAAATAACTGTCACTCACATGTTGCTGATCAACATAGCAGTCTATTAGTATCCTTTCGTAGATTCTTTAATGTTAGTATAGATTGCCTTTTTTTAGTTTAGAGGTGACGGCCGTTTACGATCATTAATAGTATTTCTATTTTTTTGGGAAGGGATTTTTTTGTTTTCATTTCAATATTATTAGTCTATACAATTACGAAAAATGGCGGATTTTAGGAGCCTTGATCTTCAATCGTAAATCGTCCACGGGAGGAAATATTTAATCGGTAATCATATTTCGTTTTAACTATCACTGGTGGAAAAGTTTTGATTCACGATTCATATAATGAATTGTTTATGATAATGAAATTTTATAATATCTCAATACTTTCACAAATCTTTTGCATTTTACATAAATTTTATAATCGTGACATCTATCAATGTACATTTACAATGAGTGTCTTTACATGGTATTACTCGTTACGTCTTAGTGTTAATTTTAATCTATTTATTGTTATTATAATCTAAAAAATAATCATAATACAGTCAAACGAATCTATGAAACACATTTTTTGTTTATATATGCATATTATAATTCGTTAAAACAAGATTTAACTGTAAATTTTTATTGTTATTACCTTTAGTAGCAAAGTTTACAATGCATCGATTTATTAATGTCATCATATCTTAACCATGGAAGTATAGATAGCCATTCGTATTTGAAATTTTGTGGATGAACTTTTAATTATCGATATTATGACAGTCCGTTTCAAAAGTGTTAACGGGCAACGTTAGCAATGACATCATCGCGTTCCTATATTAAACTAATTTCTCGACGACAATAAAAAAAGTTAGTTCGTTTATCACTTTCCTTTTATAACATACTTTAAAAAGAGACTCCAATAAATTTCAGTTGATGAAAAAACGAATGGTACTCAAACTTGTCTGTATCATTGTTACTACTACTATCGTTGTTGTTATTATTACTATTTACTATTGTTATTCTAATTAATCGCTATTATTCGAATTATTTGTTAAAGTTTATTCGAATAAACGAACAAAAAGAATAAAAGAAGAATAATAAAATAATTCGAATTAAGATTGATTTGTATTACAAATAATCCGAAAAAGAATTTGCAATACGAACAGAAACTCTAGTACTAAGCTTGCAGGTATTACTATCACTACTACTATCGTTATTATTATTACTATTACCACTATTATTATTTTTTCTTCTAGGAGATGGTTCTTGTTGTAAAAAGTCTTCTAAACCAATTTAAACTGCTGTTAAAATATTTCATCTTGTCTCAGATGTGGAAGATCAAAGGATGAAAATAAACTTGCATGTTCTGTCGTTCTTTGTCCATCTGTTTTTCTACTTCTCCTTGTTGTAAAAATAGTTCTGAATTACTTGCTGCATTATCTGATGATCCAAGAGAAGAATTTTCGCCAGGTAATGATCTAAAGTTATATTCTCTCAAATCATCAGGCAATGCTGCAGAACTACTTTCACCAGTTTCAACATTTTCTTCGCGGATGCTGCACCACCAGTGTTTTGATTGCTGTCGAATTTAGCTCACCAAACAATATCATAATACTTTCTCGTGTCGTTTTGCAAGTTGTTTTCCTTCTTTATCCCGGTTTTTATTTTTTATTTTAATAAAAATTTAATTAGTTGAATGCACAAAATTTACTTTTATATCATTATGCAAATACAAGTAAGTAATGATAGACCAAAACTTCATTACATCACTATATGATTATCATTATATATCGAGCAGAATTTATATATAATTCTTATTATATTGTACGATCCACCAATACTAATGCCAAATGCCAACGCGTCATTGATGATGCCACGATATAAAGGGATTGATTGACAATAATCAGGAACCCAAGTAGGGTTTCTATTCGTAATAGCAATACAAATTTTATTGAATGATTTTGAATTAAAAATTTATTAATATTTGAAAATGTATGTCTTTTTTCTTCAACAAGATAATATAAATTACAATAATTATATTTATAGTCTATATATATTACTACTACTACGATTGCTAGTACTATGACTCGAGAAAAGTGTCATCTACTATTATTTATAATTATTGTTACTATATACAAAGGCTAAGGAAAAATAAATTGATAAAGAAAAAAATCATAATTGGGACTGGATTAAACATATGTGTATTAATATCATTATTTTGTTCGAATAGAAACTCTAGAACCAAGTCGGTCCTATCTCACAGTAGATGATTTCGTTTTTTCATCGTTCCTTCCATTATTTGAAGGGTGGGTATCGTCAATGAACTTCTCTTGGATCCCTTTCGTATATTTCTACTTTGTAAATAAAGCAGACATTTCTAGACTAGGAATTCTAGCAAAATTACCTTTTTTCTTACGCTTCTTATTCCTTACCGGGGAAGTTTAACTCTAAAAAAATACAGGATAGGTTATTCACAACTGCGACTAACTGTCCCAAGAGAAAAAAAAACACACGGGATGCATCGAACTAACTGTTCATTACCGTGGATTAACCGTTCCAGTGTGATTAGAATACCTCACGATTCCAGCAAGTTTGACTGTTATAAAGGAAGGATACCTGCGCAAATAATTTTATGGATTGTGCTTTTACTGATCGCGAAAGACATGTTATGAACCGCAATGATTATGAATAATAATAATATATATGTGGTACCTTTCCACCTGACATAAGTGCATAAAAACTTTCAAGACGTAGGTATTATTGTAGGAGAAAGTCTTTTAAAACTACTTTGAAGAAACGAACGTCAAAACTATAATTTTGAAACCACACTATCCAAAATGCACCAAGTTAGTGGCTTTGCAATGTTTCGTGAATATAAGAACAATAATCGTCACGATTTTTGAATTTTATTGATATTATTCATAACTTACTTACCCACAACTGCATTTCCGGGACATGTTTCTATAAATTGAAATAAGCCGCATTCATCATCTTTGATGGTGGTGGTAAGCCATCTCCCCTTTTATTGTTAATGAATAAATGAAATAATAGAGTATTAATAATCACCCACTATAACCATTTGTGAAATTATTTTTGAAAATAGTTAATTACGATTAATACTTAGCTATATTCGCTTACTTATCTACCATATAATTAATTTAAATAATAAATTTTTGGTATAACAATAAATTGCATCACACTTATTTTTTACCACAGCAAGGTGATATTAAATAAATACCATGCAGAATTGATACGACTAGTTAATTCAGTGTTGGAACGTGGTAAATGACCACAAAAAAAATTTTCCAACACTAGGAGGAGTAGAGGTACTGTGTTTGTAACTAATCGCAGCGAGAGTTAATACACACAGCATTCAATAAATCACGTAAAAACCATTCCTGTGAGCACAGAGGCCATAGTTTTCGCCGATGTTCGAATAACTATAAACTTGCCCCACCACAGTAAAAACGTGAATATTTTCATGCCTTAACGCATGTAATAACTCTCAAAATAATAAGTTCTGTGCTGATTATAAGAAGGTAGGTATCAGCATAGTTAAACTACGGGGGCCGAGTCCCTAAGAGGTTCGTCTTACTAGCCGCCCATTCAAAGGGCCCCGTAGAGTTCCATACACTAATGAGGATTTCAACGCGTAATCAAGCACCCAATCGCGCATTGGGTTTTATCCCTCTTTAGACTACTGCATTGCAGTAGTGCGTCTATGGTATGGGTGGCTATAACGGCCATCTTGAATGTTGTAAGCTCTCTCTCTCTTGTATATACTCTTTAATAAAATTTTTTTTTAAAAAAAATAAAAAATAAAATAAAAATTATAATAATAATATTGTTAATATTGTTTTTGTTTATTTGATTACAAATACAAATTACCAATTGGATGGATATTTTACAGGGTACACAAAATTACCCATAAAAAAAAAGGATGATCATCATAATTTGTGAAATGCAAACAACTCAATCAATTGATTGACATTTCAAAGACTTTATTGAGCAACTAAACATTTACTCTCACAATAGTAACAATAATTCAATCAATCAAATTAATAATAATCAAATAATACCAAATACTAATATAACATTAACAACATAAGCCCAAATAATCCAAATATAGATGATTGATGTGTTTTTATAAATCACAAGGGTAAACACCATTGATAAAATGAAGTTGTTGTCTCTGTAAAATAATAATGTCTGATGGTTGGTTGTGTTTGAATTGGGCGGGTTTTTCATTTCCTTCAACTTGGTCCTTCCAGCAGTTTCCGATGATGATTCGATGCTTCCATTTTCAAATAGAACTTTTATGGTAAAGCTGGTATGTCATACATGTATATCATTTAAAGGCTATAGACTATTAAAGTTTGCTAGAGGCAGAGTATTTTCCAGCAGAATACCTTATTTCTAGGACTTTTTAGGCATTCCGCACCTTTAAATTCAATCTTTACCTTTCAAAAAATATAATACCAAATATAATATAATTAATAAAGAATGTCCACTAGTAAAGGAAGTTTATTTTGTTCATAAGGTAAGTACATTTTGTTATACTTTCATCATATTTGGTACCAAATGTTCTTTTTACTCCAAGGAAAGTGGTTGAAAATGATCTGAATCCAAGATTTATGTGTCAAGGGCCACTATTTGGACTAGGGTTTCACTAGATTCATGATTCGTAATCAATCAGAGCATTCAAATTGCATCAAAAAATAAGAATTTACCTGGATCAAACGGATCAAACAAACAATTCAATTAAGATTGAGATGTATTATGAATTAAAAAGTTGTATTACGAATAGAAATCTTGTTTGCAGGTCGAAAGTCAGTTTTTGAATAAAAGGATCCACTTCACTTTATGGTAGTGTGTGCTATTTCGCTAATATAAATCTTGAAAATTGAAAATTGCATTATTTAATGAACAACTTCAACATCATAGAAAAAAAAATTCATCATAGTCAAACTCTGGTGATTGATTCATCATAATTCAGTGATTTCGATAATAAAAGAATTTCAGCATTAGTTTTTTTAAAACAAAAACTTGTGCCTAACCAACCCTGTCTTATACACTATGCAAAGTCTGTTCTGCGTATCAATATTGACCAGCCTATATGTATTTCAACTAGACATTAAAGACAGCTTAAGTGCGTTTTTATTTTATTATTAAACATTTACTATTATATGTAGTTAGTTTCAAAGTCATAAAGCATCATCAAGTTAACACAACTTGTGTGCATGTAAAAGTTGCTCTTTTCATTTTATGAAATCTAATAATAAAAGAAGGAATGTTAGTAATGGTAACAAAAGAAACATTAGTAATAGTTACTATAATTGTATTGTAATAGTATATTATAACAATTAGCTTCCATATAAATTATCAATTGATGAAACTATGGATTTTTTTTTTTTGATATACTAATACTAATACTGATACTATTATGATTATAGATTAAGATGGTCATTTTTTATGTCCGGTTCAAATATAATTAATTATCCAAGGTCTTATTTTCTTTATTTTAAAAAATAAACAACAATACTTTAAATGGCTAGAGCATGCCATTTTAAATGAACATATTAGTAATTATGAATATGAAACTTTAATAAAAAATAAAAAAATGCATTTGGTGATGTGTATTGTGCATATTCCTCAAGTCATCAAAAGCGTGGCATTAAAATCTCTCAAGCTTTCAATCAAATCATCTGTAAAGGAAATTTTTTTTTTGATTTAATATCTTCCACTCAATAATTCCTTTATCTTTTCCTTCCGATTTTGAGTTCTTCTTATTCATATGTCTCTGTCAACTCTATCCAATATCTGTCCTAATGTTTGTTATCGTTATTCTCCGTACGATAATACGACCCTGATACATTTCCAAATTTTCGTATATTTGAAAAAAGAAAAATTTGGCATACATGTATTGTATTTATATAATCTTTATAGTTTCCCCTCTACTCTACCAATTGCCCTAATGCTTTAGCTGTAAAGCAGCCATAAATCATAATTCCTCCCCCCGTCATGCTTTACCGTAGTGACAAATTTTCATATTAAAACGAGTCCCATTTTCGCGCCAAATTCGTGTTGGTCCATCACTACCAAATATTGTAAAACGAGTCCACTCCCATCCATCGCACCATAATACGACACTTTTCCATCGTCTTATTCTCCAGTTTCGTCTATCGATACATCATTAAAATCGTTTTTAGCGTTGAATTTCGTCAAGAGGTGGCTTTGATACTCCGGATTGTTTTAATCGAAACATCTAGGCTAGTGGATTAATTACGATAACTTTTTATACCATTCTATTATTATTGGCAACAATTTCTTTTAAAGCTTTTTTTTTTTTCATAGTCACCGAGCAATTTTGGTCTACCACTTCTTTTGTAATTTCTTTCTTGTGTGACCGACCATCTTTGAAAAGACCAATAATTTGTCGATTTTTTAATTAAAAATCATTAAATTTTATTATTATTTTAAATAAAGTCTTTAAAACAATGCTGTTTAAATTGACTACTACTTGTGTGAGATTCGGGTTCGAGTATCATCAGATATATATATAACCTTGTTACAACAAAGTCGTTGAAACAAGATTACTAATCGTGTTTCAACGAATTTTTGTGTAACAAAAGAAACAAGAATTTAATTATAATTCGTATGAAACAAGGTTTTGCCAAATACTAATACAATAATAATAAATTTTTAAATTTAAGAATCTAAAATACCTCGGTCGAGAAGTCATTTGAGATCATTTACATGATTATTGGTAATAAATAATTCATTTTAACTATATTGGGCGTTAATGTTAAATTTTTTGTGTAATGAATGATACAATATAAATAAACCGTACTACGCTCGTTCATTATTTTGTTTCTCGTTTATTTATAACAATAAAAAAATTTTTTTATATATATTGTGCAGGTTTATCACATGCGAGTTATTTAATATACAAATTACCTTAAAATCCAATTATGGATAAAATATAAAATCTAAATTTTTGAAGGAAAAAAATTTTTACATTTTTAAATTTCTCTTTTTTGTTAAAAAAAAAAGTATATAATAATATCACTGTTCATTAACAGAGATATTATTATATATTTTTTTAATCCAAACATTCTTTTTTTATTAATATTACTGATTATTGATTAATCGTTATTATTAATCAACACCATCATTGTCATCAACATCACTATCATCATCATCGTCATTAATATCAAGCTAAACTAAAAAATGGCTCAAAATGGTGTAGAACACCAATTAATCAACAATAATTCGTCATTTATTCCTTCACCAATTTTTTCGCAACATCCAAGAAATCCAGAGCCAATATTTAACAATAACAATAACAATAACAACAACGACATCATCAATAACAATAATAACAATAATAATAGTTTTTCTATTCCTCAAATGAGTTATAATCCATATCGAAATTCGAATAATGTTAATGGTAGTGGAAGCACCATTTCTGCTGGAAGTAACGATAGACTATATAACTTCCAAAACGAAGAAAGAAACTCTCCTGTAACCAATAATGAAAATACACCTTACAATTCACGTGCTCTCGATTCAGAAAGTCAACAATTAAATAATATAAACAATAATAATAATGATGATGATAGTGATAGCGATGAAAACTCTACAAGAAAAAAAAAGTTCTTTCGTAATTTTCGTAATGTTCGTAATAGACGTAAAGCCTGCTGTTTCATATGTTGCGGTGTGACCATCTTACTTTCCATAATATTCATATTGCTTGCCATATTTGTAATTGCTCCGTCTATTGCTCAAGGTGCCGTCACTGGTTCAAAGTTGGCTTTTTCAAGTGTTAGCCTAACAAATCTTACTGAAGATAGTTTTCTTATGAAAGTATCTGGTGAAGGTAAATCATAAATACATAGTATTATTCTTTTTTTTTTCTTTTAAAAAAAATTTGATGATTGTTCTAACACTTTATAATTTACACCACACACTGTATATATTAGTTACAAATACTGGCCCATTAGCTGCTACTATTGAAGTTCCTGATGGCGTATCAGTATCTTGGGAAAATCTTCTGATTGGTAATATGCCACTTGATACCATTTCAGCTGCTCCTTTTGTTGGTGCTCGAATTGAATCAACTCAAACTTTTAAAATATCAAATAAGACTGCATTCAGTCAATTCAATAAATTCATGTTGACTGAAAAAGAATTCACATGGCATTTGGAAGGTGTTGCATCCGTAAAGGCAGCCGGCTTGAATCTTCAAAATATTGTTTTGTCCAAAGATATAACCATGGGTGGTATGTGTTGGCATTTTTTTTTTTTGTGTGTGTGCGTTTAATTTACCTTTATATTATATATATTAATCTATTATATTAATGATATCAAATATATAGGAATGCAAAATTTTCCATCTGTTACAATTGATAGTTTCAATGCACCTTCTGAAGATCCTCAGGGCGGTATTGTTGTTCAAATAGTTTCTACCATGGGAAATCCTTCTCCTATTAGTGTTCAATTAGGCGACCTTACTTTTGACATTCAATATCTTAATCATACGATCGGAGAAGTTTCTGCTACAAACATTACCTTACTCCAGGGCGACAATAAATTAAATTTGAACGGTAGACTTATTCCTCAGAATACCACTGATTCATTGGCTGCTGTTAGCGATTTGTTTTCAAAATTCATTGCCGGTCAAAATGCCACTACCGATGTTGTTGCAAAATTGGTAAAGCCTGACAACAACACAGAACCTGTTTCTTGGTTACAATCCGCATTTTTGGGTACAAGGTTGTCCGTAGTATTAGCTGGACCTCAAAATCTCTCAGTTATTACTGGTGTCACCATAAATACCTTGGATCTAGACTTTCTTACAGATAATCCATACATACCAATGGCTGCTTCACCTTCTTTAACTGCCTCATTTAGCATACCTTTTGGTTTCCCGTTGTCGATGAAAAAAATTTCTCAAGATATTACAATGTTTGATGGCGCTACTAATCTAGCCAAACTCTCAACTCCTTACACTGATGCATCAGGCAATACAACAACAGGGATAATCAAATCAAGTTTTGCTCCTACTCCATTCCAAGTAACAAGTGGCTCTGAAAATGCTTTTGATGATTTTAGTAAGAAATTGACCACAGACCCGAAAGTTGATTTGGTAATGAAAGGTGTCGCGAATTCAATTGCAAGTACCCCTGTAGGCGATGTAGAAATTAAAGGGATCAAATTTTCTGTCAATTCATCTTTAGATGGGCTTCAAGGTCTCAAAACAAAGGCAGCTTTAGTCAATTCATTGAAAGTTGTAGGTGGTACCACTGACATGATGTTGATTGACCTTTCAGTCACACTATTTAATCCATCAAATGTGAAAATCAACATGGGTGATATTAATTTCGATTTGTATTTTAAGGAGAAACAACTTGGAAAAGTTCTTATGAAAAATTATGTTTTAGACCGTGGTGAAAACACTGGAAATGTTGTTGCACAATTTGCACCAAAAACTGACGATGCATTGAAAGTTGGTAGAGACTTATTAAACAATTTTATGGCCGGTAAACCGAATGATTTAGGAATACAAGGTACTCTGGAATCAACAACAATCTCGTCATTGAAAAAAGCATTGTCTAGTCTTGAACTTGAAACTTCCATGCCTGGATTAAAATCGGATAAAAATGTCATACTTAAAGCTAGATTTGCCATTGGTCTTAACACAATATTTGATTCGAAAGGTACTGCCTCGATAGATGCATTCAATCCATTAGACACCACTATCAAATTTTTAAAGATCCAATCAACAATCACATCGGAGGGCAATTTGATTGGAACTATCGATGAAGATTTAACAAGTGCTCCTGTGGTCATTGAGCCAAAACAATCCGTCACCACAAAAGATTTTGAATTGAAGTTGAAAATTACTCCCGCTGCTTTGAAAAGCTTATTTGAATCGATTAAAGGTGACTTGTTTACCGATATTTCTTCAACTATATTGGTTGCTATTGGTGATTATCAGACTACAATTGATTATGGTAAGTTCTTTTTCTTTTAAAAAAAAATATTTAATTTATATATATATATTTTTCACAAGTTTAACATTTATATATTTATATAGTGCAAAATAAAGTATCAACTGGGTTGGGAAAAGGTGGAGATGGCGGGCCTATATAAGAGAGGGAGTGTGTTTGTTTTTTTTTTGTAAATTGCTTAAATAAGTGGGACATTATGAGTTACTATTTTTTGTATTATAATAATAATAATAATTAATTAGAGTAGTAATATAGAACATTTTTTTTTAAAAATTCAAAAATTCAAAATTCAAAATTTAATAATAAAATAATAAAATAATAAAACAATAAAATAATAAAATAATAAAATAATAAAATAATAAAAATATTTTTTATTATTGTTTTACACATGTCCAAAATGCACAATCGTATAAATATTTTAACATTCCATTTGGATTAATTGTATAGGTTGATTGAAATATGTTTTCCCTCTTATATATTGAAGTTTAAATAAGGGATATATATATATACATGATAATTAATACGTGTCATATACATAATTAATATTGGCATTTAAAAAAGTTTTACCTGAAATTGAAATCCAGTTTTTTTCACAACCATTTTAACCTCTTCTAAACTCAACTCAATCGACATCTCGCCGGGTGTATTCTCGTAATGATACAATAATGGACCTAATATCAATACAAAGATTATTACTTATTGACAAACCTCCATTTTTAAACAATTATTATTTACCGATATTAATCCATAATCCTCCGGGCTTAAGAATACGATGAAAGAGTTCGATATATTCTATAATGTTTTTAGCAGTATCTATAAAAAAACTGGTAACTATACAATCCCACTTGCCTTTATATATACATATATATATATATATAATATTATTTTAATAAAATTAAAATGAAAATCAAAAAAACTTTTAACAATGAATTTTTAATCTACCTATGTGTTGACTGTCACCATAAACTTCTGTAAAATCTCCTGCCACCATTGAAAAATCAGATTCAGGTGGGATACTACTAGGCAGCACATCTGGTATATAAACAGGCACTAATTGATCTTTAGATGACAAAATGTTGGAAAAAGAGTGGATGAATGGATATAATTCGTATTGATTGATTCTCTCTATCCTAAAAAATAGCAGAAAATAAGTTTTTATTATTGATACTTTTAGGAGGGAGATCTTTATATATATTTCTTTTCCTTTTCTACCTGTTTAATATGAAATGTGATGCTAACAACTAATTGAGTATATGCCTATTAGTGAATTGTTCGATATGTATTTGGGATAATTTACAGATAATGGAAATTACCATATAAAATGAAAATTCATTTCCTATATTTATAGATATAAATTTAAAATGATAAATAAATTTTGAAATCTAATAAATTCTATCAAATAATTTAAATATGAAGTACCTTGAGAACTAAAGCCTTATTTATGTCAATAAGCAAAATCATAAATCAATAAATCAATTTCACAACACACATATGTACAAGTAATAACCAATTTAGTACCTTGGTTTACTATATCAAATGCCAATCTTCCTAATCCAGCGCCTGGAACTAACACTTGAATATTTTTTCTTTTTTTTTAAAAAAAAAAAATGACAACTTTTATTAGTAATGGATGATCTATATGATTTATTTATAAAATAGCAAATTCTATTGTTTTTCTTTTAAAGAATAATAATCAATAAATGATTTTAAAAAAAAAATCACACCTTTCTTCAATTGGAACATCTTTATAAAACTCAAGTAAAGCTTCTATAATAGGTTTATATGCCGCATCTCGTTCTGACTTTCCCTATAGACATTTAAAAAAACATATTTATATTTATATTTATACGGCTACGTATTTAAATATATCTGATATATACATACTTCTACTGCCCATTCCCTAACAAATTGTTTGATCGTACTTCTAACTCTGTCCATATCATGTTCTGTTATTGGTAAATTCGATTCTTCAACACCTTCTTCAACACCTTCTTCACCATCTTCTTTCTCAGCTTTAGTAGATAAATTTTGGCTATCCTGATCCATAAACGATGATATTTTTTTAAAAAAATAATTTTTATTTTATTTCGTCTTCAAAATTAGGGAAACCTAAAAATTTATATTTTTTTTTTGAAAAGAATTATCTAAAATACTAACAAAAGATTTATTTTTATTTTTTTTTTATTATATACACGCACATTATTATTTTCTTCGTTAACAAATAGATTTCCATCCGCTAAAATTTTCTTTAATAATTGATTATTTATCGATATAGATTTATCTATTTCATTCAAACGATCCAAAAAGCCTGGAACTAACAATTTATGTTGTTCCGGAAGATTAATATAATCAATTCTTCTTCGGTTATTTGCAGAAAGCGCGTTTGATTTATATAATGCAAAGCTATTAAGAACTTTTTGAAAATGCTGTGGTAATTGCAGTGAAATAGATTAATTAATTAATCTATATTTTTTATTATTAAATATATAAATATATATATATAACCTTTGCTTCTTGTTTAACGATATCCTCGTCGACACCATCAGGATCGTTTAAAGGCATGTTAATTCGTTTTTTTTAAAAAAAATTGGTTTTAGTTTGATAAATCAGTCACACACTGGCAATCCTCGGATTAATAATAGTGGTAGTAACGTGATTATGTCAATTTTTATGTTTCAATACTAGACCCTGCATGAGCTCATTCTTGGACTTTCTCAATTGTTGATGAACTTGGGGGTTTTTTAACTTTATTTTAAAGTTAAATAACTCATTTTCAGGATTATTTTCCTTTAATATTTTAGTTGCCTCGTTTACTTTGTCAGTATTGTGAGCCGAGGTCACATGTTTTCAATATATTCATTTTTAGTGGAAAATTTTTTATAAAGACAACCGGTTAATCAATCAATTAACTATGTAATTAATATTACAGAACCTTGCTCATAGGAGTAAAGGCAGAAATATAGAATTATCTCCTTACAAATAATTCGTTCTGTAAAGCATTTTCACAATTTAATAATAAATAAATAATTCTTTACGTTTCGCTTAATAAAACACGTTTGTGATCGGAAATTTAAACAATAGGATTTAGTTGTCAATTTGTTGTCAGAGCAAAATATATAACTGAGGTTTTGGTCATTTGTTTAGTAGAGAAGCAAAGGTTTGGTTTCAAGTTTTGTAAAGTGTAAATGTTTTGTTTTTGTTAGAGAGTTTAATGTAAAGTGTCAAAGTTATCGTTATCGCATATTGTTATTTGTGTTAAAGTAATTGTTGTAACGAACGGTTATTAAACAAGCAGCTTAAAGAGTCTTGTAAAGAGACCAAATTAATAAAGCTTTTAAGCGATTAAAGAAAAGTAAAAATAAATAAAGAACTTTAGAAAAGCATTTACCGCTTTTTAAAAAGGTCACATTTATTTTTCTGCTTACAGATTCGTCGAAGCAATAAATGGGATGATTGTTAAATAAATTCGTGAAATAGCTTAATTGACGAGCATTGAATATAAAAGCTTACAATTAATTAGCGAAATTAGCTCGAAAGTTAATACGAACTGCAATAAATGTAAAACAATCGGTGTTAACCAAAAAGCTACATCGCAGTATTAGTATGCCCCATATACAATCATTTGAACTTAAGTTACACCATTTTCTTTTATTGTGAATTTATTATAATAATTGCCACTTCTGTTATACAATTTTTTATTACTCTACCATCCATTGTTATTGGTTTAGCCCATCAAAAATATACTTTTGTGCCGAATTAGCTTGACTTTGGTCCCTGTCAATCAATTAAACAAATATTTTTGTTTACCAATCGGTTTTTTTACTGCTACTTTCTTTACCCAGAAAAGCTTTGACGATTTGTTGGTACAAAATAACAATTCGAATACACAGTAACAGGTAAATTCGATAAGTCGGCCATGAATGGCTGGGCATGATGGACTTATCAAGAACACGTGACTTTAAGTTTTTAGTATCAAATTATAAAACGTAAATGGGGTTTTTAAAAACAATGTTTATTTACACCGATCATTATATAGTTGTTCGAAATATTGTGAAATCAACCTTTTTATACATACAAAACATTATAAAACATAAATGCATCGTTCATAATATAAAAAAGAAATAGTTTTTCTTCTTTTCTAAATTATCAAATGAGATAATAGTGATGCAATTAATGCTATAACTTAAAATACAAATGCATAAATGTATACAAAAAAGAAAGCGTTTTATCTGATAATAACTGAAATGGATAATTTTATATTACAGGTTACCAAGAATAGTAATGATGACCTCTCATTCAATGCAAATATCACGTGAGACCGACTTCTCGAGAGTAATTTAGAAGGGTTGGCCGGCTTATTATCAAGAGATTTTAAATATTGAAAAATTTTTTGGCTGAATGCAACTTATCGAGTTTACCTGTGTAATATGATCGATATTAATATTAACAGTAATATATATATATATATTTAGTATATTAATCAATTATTTATTTATTTTAATTGAAGGATGAATCATTCCAAATTCTGATTTATTTGATCAAGTAGTCTAATAAATTATTGTTCTTCGAAAATTTTCATATTTTTTTTCATATTCTGTTTCTACAAGTTCTCTAACTATTTCATATCTAGGATCAGGTACAAGTCTCATATCAATATCTGCACTATAAAGTAATTTTTCTAGTTTTTTCAACTTTCTATTGATGGCTTTTCGAAACCTATAATTAGGATCTGTCGGTTCAAGTTTTATATCAAGTATATCATCATGTAATATTGAATCCAAATTTTTCCTGGGTATTTTTTCTTGAATTTTTTTTGCCATATAATTAGTTAATTAGTAAAAATTATATGTACATATGTATAAAATTAATTATTAGATGAATGATTGGATAAATAAATAATCAATAATTAATAAACTGTATATCACCTCTTAATCTTCTTTTTCTCCTTTCCTCTTCTCTTTGTTGTTCCTCTACTTCCTCTAAATAACTTCTTTTTTTAACAGCAATTCTCCCAGTTTCTAAAATTGGCAATGTCTTATTAAATATATCAATTGATTTGAGATTTTTTCCTTCTTGTTGTTTTATTGATGACAATGATGATGATTCTTTTTGTAAAGATGATGATGATTCAGATTTTTCTAACAAAAATGTAGAATTCCTCAATTCTTTCTTAATTTTAACCATTTCATCAACTTCCTGATGTGTAAGATTATGTTCATTTGCATCTTTTATCTGCAACTGTTTCTTTTGAATATCTTCAAAAGAAGGCATTCGTAACTTGGCAACTTTCATTGTTATTCGCCAGCGATCAAATTCACCCTAAATGAACAAATAGATGAATTCTTTAATTAAATAAATAATTATATATAATTATATATGACAAAACTTTTTAATTCTATACTTGATCAAAGCAATTATTTGAAATATTTTGAATATTGAATTGTTTTACTGCTTCTGCATGTTTTAATAGAAAAACTTTATTGGTTATAGATTTTTCAATAAAGTATGGTGTTGATACTTCTTCAACTCCTATAAAATACATATACATGTATATTATTGTTAATGTGAACATTGATAAAAAATGAGGTTACAACTTTTTATAATAAAAATAATGATTGTGAGTTTTATACTGCTTACCAATTACTTCACAAATGCGATAAATTTGTCTTCCATCTTTATTTCCTATATTTAACCTTACAAAACTTCCTATAACAGTCTTGTCAAAATATTGAGTAAACATCCATTTAGCAACTTGAGAACGTGTAATCTGGACTTTCTTTAAATCATCTATTTTAATATCCTAAATGATTTGATGTGAATGTGAATGAGAATGAGAATGGCTTTGAAAAAAAAAATATTATACCTATGATTATATTATTTTTTTTACATCATTGTGAGATTTATCATTTGAATCATCACTTGAAAGAGCTCCATTTTCACTTTCATCATCATCATCATCATCATCATCATCCTGTGAAATATGTTCTCCTGGTTCTGGACTTTCAGATCCCTATAAATATTAAACAATTACAACTTAATAACAATAATAATTACTATTTATTTACTATGATATTTACAATTTGTCTCATTTTTCCTTTTTCTGCACGTCTTCTTTTTAATTCTGCCAAATCTGCTTTTTGTAAATCTTTCTTTTTTCTTGATGGTCCTACCATCAATCAATCAATAAATATTTGATGAATAATATATATATATATATATATATATATATATATATATATATTGATAATATAAAAACATACTTCTTTTTGAACTACCAACTTCTTCTTCAATTATATCATCTTCATCATATAAATTTTTTATAACATTTAAATCCATATTATGTTGTCTCTAAAATCAATCAATTAAATAAATAACTATTCTTATCTTGATGTGTATGAATCATAAATCAAATAAATATACTTTTTCAGCTCTTGATGCAAGAATTTGCTCTCTTTCTAACTCTGGTAAATTTTCTAACCTAAACAAATAGTTTATTAATTTGTCAATTAAATATTAGTGAAAATGATGTATATAGTATAATTACTAGCTACAAATACCTTTCTCTGTCAACATCATCATGATATAAATCTGGTCCAAATGATTCAGATTTATTATTATTAGCATCGCCATCCTCTTCGGAATAATTACCACGACGAGATCTAGATGTATATAATAACAAGTATTACAAAATGTATGTGGACAACTTTTCAACAATGCACACATCTATCTACTACTCACAATGCTTTTTTTCTTTTAGTTTTTACTCTTTTTTCTGATCTATTAGAAGTAGAGGTAGAGGTAGTGGCTTCAGTTGAAGTTTTTCCCTCGCCGCCAATAAGTTCAAGAATTTCATTTTCTAAATCACTCATTTTGATTTTTTTTTTTTTTGAATTAAAAATTGTATAAAATTCAATGTGCGGAATGTGCGAGTTTTATTACACAAGAATCAACCAATAAACGTTGGTAAAAAATTGTGCAAAAAATCCGTGCAACAAAAAAATAGTGATGTAATATATATCGAAAAAATGCTCATTATTTAAATCTTAATAATAATAAATAAATAGTGATGATCTAATGTACTAAAGTATAGAAACAATAATTTAAATCCACCTAATTCAAGTTCTAAATTAATTTATTATTTTTCAATTGAATGCCAATTCTGCTTAGGCTTGATAATTTAAATTCCAACATGAAATAAAAGAAGTTTTGTATGTAATATAAATAACTGTTTTTCAATTGGATTATTCAATTTTTTAGGACCAGGATCCTGGTTTGTGGTTTTATTTAAATTGGACCAATTTCCAACCTCTACCCTTGCAAATATTTAATTACAAATTTAAAATAGTTATGAAAGTTAAACATTATCATTATGAAATAAGGAAATAAATACTCAATCCTGAAATGTTTTTATAATAATATTATATTAAATAGATTACAAAAATACCAACAAGCACATAGAAAGATTAATCAAAATTCTATTTGTTCACCAACACCATAATGATTATTATTATAAGCAGAACTTGGTAAAGGTGGTGAGATTACAAAACATATAAATTGACCTGGTGCAAACATATTATTATCTATGTATAGTTAAAATTGTATGTGGCCCTGGTGGTTGTCATTGTTGTTGTTGCTGCTCCTGCTGTTGGATTACAAAAATATTGTTCATTTTTTTAATTTTTTTTTTTAAATTCCTGAGTCTTGTGCACTTTAAGAGCAAATACATTCTGCAACAGAAATTGATACTAGATGCTGGTATGCCATTAATATTAAAACTTGCAACACTTTTCTATACATTAATTGGAAGCAAATAGAAATTTGTCCACAATAAACATTATCCTGATTTTTTCTGTTTTATGGACTGGAATGCTTTCCACCTTCCATACAGCATACATCCACCCATGTGTCTCACTGACTGACTTGATGAACATAATAATAGTTGATGATAAGATAGGCAGGCAGACATTTTGTTTTTTTTTGATATACTATAGCAATAAAATCTAGATTAGATTTTGGTAATGTTGAAAGCAGAAAAGAGAAAAAATATTACCAATGGACTTGAAACAATTGCTGGACCTTTTTCTTGATTGGTGACTTTTTTAAACTCATGGCCTGGGCACTTTTCTTCACCCCCAAGTCATACAGCCTTTTTTTGTGTTGACCTTTCTGAAGATATATTTCAATAAAACTGTTAATTCTTCATTTGACCAATCTCTTGGACCTGAATGAATGCCTCCTTCAGACTCCAGTCAATAATCAAAGAAAGTTGTAAATTAAAGTTGGTGACCTTCCTGATTTGACCTTCTTTTGGGCATGTGAATACTTTATTGCTACTGATATGGTTCTATTATTATTATTCCTAGTAATGATGTTAGCCGTTTACTACCTAAATTGGTAATTTTATTTCTATAACAAGAAAGTAACGCAGAAATCTATTACCAAATTTAGAA